TTAATTTATATATTTTGCATAGTGCTTTCCTGTGGCATAAACAACTGAATAATGTGTTCCAAACGCTTTGTTTTCTACCAAACCGTGAAGATCCGGGTTAGAATGGTCCTCAACTGTCCACACTTCTCATATTAAGCGACTAACGGGATCGGTGATCAGGCTTGTTGATCAGTCATCGTTGTATCCCAGTTGCATTAATCAATAAGAATGATGCCAATCACTGGATAGGCTGGTCCAGCTTCGATAATCCATAGACCGTTGCCATATTGCTCAGAGCGTTAAAAAACAAACAAACAAACACGCTACACGTACAAACTGAATATGCAGCTAATAGCGTGGACAACATCTACGTATACAGCATACGCCACTCACAACGTCAAACACGTGGTTAATTTGTCATAAAATCTCGATATGACGATCGAACATACACAACATGTGTTGTCCATCACACCAAAGTATCAAGTCATGCATTCTCAAGTATAACGCAAATAACGATCGAACTCGCGCAAGCACGCGCGCACACTCGATGCTTTTCATTGTATCCCATTTGCGTTGATCGATGATCCACATGTGTGGCCCAGACTTGATTATTTACAGACCGCCGTCATATAGCTGGGATATTGCTGAGTGCGGTGTAAAACACCAAACGAATCATCATCATCATCATCATCAACAACAACAACAACAACAAAAATAATTCAAACACAAATAATTGAAGACGACGTTTTCCATTGTTCAGAATGTCAGATGTGATCTTAAGCAACCTAGGATTTTTCATCTTTAGACAGAGCATCTGCATCTCTCCATACAATGCCGTTGAATATTATATACGAAGCACATACGGAAACTGTAATCTGGAACTGTATGTGTACACAAATACAGATTTATACAGAGTAATAACTGAATTGAATTTAACACTCTTGCATGAACTACGTGACGTCAGTGGTTTCGGCATGGGTACCTACAATATACTTGTGTATGTGCGTGTCGATAAGCTTATCGTGCAGCACATGAATGTCAAAAACTGCTGTCAAATGGGAGTTGAGATTGACATCCAATGATCGGGGGGAAAATAAAGCGCTTTTGAGCAGCTGAGATGGATATTGGCGCTGTACAAAATTAGCATAAAAATTTGAGAAAGCTACATTTTGTAACTGTTTGCAGCGTGCCAATTCCGCCAGATAAGGTTCGTGAGTTTCAGTGAGTGAGTTCAGTTTGACGCTGCTTTTAGCAATATTCCAGCAATATCACGGCGGGGAACACTAGAAATGGGCTCCACATATTGTACCCATGAGGGGAATCGAACCCGGTTCTTCAGTGTGACGAACGAACGCTTTAACCACTCTAGGTTACCGTACCGCTCCGAGTTGCAGTTAGGCAAGCCATTGTAAAAGCCTTGAAGTTCCATGCCCTTTTGACAGACCCTTTATCGATGCAGTTCAGCTATCCCGATAAAAACCTGAATTCCACAAACTCACATTCACATTCGAAGCAGATTGCACGATTCAGATGAAAGTTATATCCATGGATAGCGATCATAACATTTGGTTACCTAATAAGACGAACTAAAATGCCGCTTTATCAGTCTGATACTGAACTGAGTGAAACTTTGAATGGTTTAGAAACTGTTCAAATTAAGAACCTTAAACCTCAAAAGATCATGATCGTTTCATAAGGATTTAGTACATAAGCTCTTCGGAACTTGGCAGCAGACTGAGTGGCGTTTTCAACATTTGGAATATGCAGACTTGTGTCTTCCTGATCCATATGTCCGTACTATTAAAATTTGCTCAATGTTTTGCGTCGTATCTGTGTCCATTGAGGCTGCATTGCTGGAATGCTTCTACAAACTGATAACGTGACTGTGTTTATCAACATGTACTATTATCTTACCTCACACATAAATGTCGCTTTCTGATTGGCTGAGCGCTCTTCTATTATTTTCAATGTACCCCGCTTACAAGCGAATTACATTTCAATGTACCCCGCTGTCAATGGCAACTCATTTGGTACTTCTGGTAGTAATTCTTTATCTCAAATTACATTGAATCAGGCATGATGTACGGACATTACAGATGTTTTGCGAATGCAAATCGATTGAAGGGAGATAACTCTAAATCTGTTTTTCTTGTCAGCAAAATCTAGCGATGGCTACAAAAATATTTGTACCCGTGCTTCAAACAATTCAAAATTAACATTAAGGTGTTCGGTAAGATAAATACGTTGTTCACTGGTCCCTTGGGGCCCCGAGGCTGATGTACCCTCAATGTTTGTTTATGTACAAACAAACCTTCGTGCTCAGGGAACATAAACAAACATCGAGGGTACATCAAACCACACACCCCTCGTGACCAGTGAACAACTTATATTACAAACAAGAGACGCATAACACAGAAGTCTGTTGCGAAAATGTTGTACTTTCAAACAAGTATAACTCGTCCACAACTAGACTTTAGAACATGATTTTTTACATACGTTTAGAAGAAGGAAATGTCTATACAACCAAGTTGATAATTTTAGATAACGGACACGTTGAGCACGATGGAGACGACGTAGCACGGTCCCGACGTCGGATCTCCTGGCTCTCAGTCCAATCTCTCTCAACCTGTTCCGTACAGTTTGACCGGATATCCTCCGAAGTCCAGGCTGCCTGGCTGCTGTGCCTTCACCCGTGGCAGTACGATCACGCAAATGTAGTACCCGGATGTGCCGATCTTGGGCTGCAGTGATGAATCAAGGTCTGCCTGTACGGGGGACGGTGTTTGTTATGCTTGTTTGATTGTAACGAGCTGCAAGCCGTGATATCGTGCTCAGACTAACATTCAGACGCATGGCAACTGAAGATTGATAATCTCCAGCGTGCATTCTTTCAATGGCGATGTTCCCTGTCGCAGCATCAAGACGTGGCGTAGTGATTTGACCTTCAAACTCCATGAACACGAATGCCGATTTCCGAAAGTAATATGGATGTTTATAGCCAGACAGTGCAAGCTCTTTGCTGCACAATTTCAACAGGAAGGTGATTTCTGCTGCCTTGTGGTGATGCCTTTTTAATCCTTGTAAGAAATCTCATCAAAATCAACAATTGCAGGTAAAGTCTATTTTTCACTTGTGCAATTGTACAAAACCATTTATCAACACTTTTGTTACATATTGTGTTCAAAGAATCGTCAAAATAGGTAATTAATCGATTTTTACAAATGCGTTTCTTTTTTTTGTGATAGTATGTAGTCTACATATCCAAAATATTGACCACTCATTAGAAAGGAATTGTTTTCCATGTAAGAAGTGCCTATAAATATGTGTTTCATCACTTTTGAACACGTTTTTGTTTTGTTTGATCAAATTAATCTTGTTATCCATCTTTCTGTTCCTTTCTGTCCTACTCTTTAACATTAACTTATGAATTTTCACTTTAGCTGACGTTTTATTTTGTACGTATTTTATTAATCCATTTTTGACGTTTGTCATTGATAGCTCCGCGAAATTTCAACAAATTTAAAGTTTACCTATCTTGTCTGGGTTCAGTATATTGATCACGCCTAAGACCCGGGTTCGATTCCCCACATGGGCACAATGTGTTAAGCCCATTTCTGGTGTCCCCCGCCGTGATATTGCTGGAATATTCAATAGCTAAAAGCGGCGTAAAACTAAACTCAGTCAGTCAGTCAGTCAGTATATTGATGTTTATTACAAGTTATTACTTTTCTTTGCTTCTTTGAAACTGAATGGTATTCCTTCTGTGTTTTGCAACAGCATTAGTATAGCACTACTACCAGTAGTAGCAGCAGCAAAATTTAACATGTATGTAGAAGACAGTATTAGACTTACCGATTTATGCAATATTGAAGATCCGAAAATCTCTGTTCTCACAGAGTCCTCCAGTGGTTTAAAGAAGAGTTTGAATGGTGAGGCCATTGCAACCAATGTCAGCATGTACAACGATACTCTTCTTAAGTACCCGTGGGGACGTCAGTGATTGGACAATTAGATCACGTGTCTCTGAGTCTCGCCCCACGCCATACCATCGACCAGTTTCTATTGGACGACGTATACCCTTTCTACATCGTGTTAAGCTTACTCTAAGGTTTACAGGTGGTAATAGGCATGGTTCAATGGTATGTAACTACTTGAACATGCAACTATGAATGCTATTTTAAGATGACCTTTGAAATCTGCATTGGAGTTACTCGAGAACACGACACTTTCCGAAATATTATAAAAGCATTTTATATTAATCTTTTACAACGACCGTACGATTTTTTATTATATCCACGTGAATCACGAGTAACATGTTAGTATATTTAAAATAGAAACTATATTTTCGCCTAAATTGTTAATGCTTACTTATTACACAAATATATCTTGGTGTTCTTTTTAAATGCAATCTGATATAGTATGGCGACATAGCCCATGCCATTTATTTTCCTTGGTGGCAGGAACTTGATTTCAACTCATTTAGTGTGGTTAAATGTACAGATATTCCAACAGTACATTAAAAATGTTTACGTCCCGATACCTATCAATACCCCCGAGTTATTCCAAGCAGCAGAAGTTCTCTGTTTGAGTGACAAGCAGTTATAACAGCTGAATAATCAATGCATTTCACACGTCTCACCTTGTCTGTCGTCAGTGGATCCTTCTTAAAGAACCATTACCACTTTCAGGGATTTTTTTGTCAAAATACGATTTAAGAGGAAGACTTAGTGTTACAATTATCACCATAATTTGTAATTTGTTCACATCAGCTGCTTAAATTGCAGTTTGTGGCTCCATTTCATTCGTGGTAATATCGTATGGATTATATACTGAGTCAAAAAAGAAACTTCACAAAATGTAATTTGAAAAATAATGAATAATTTTTCTCTGATGATACATCTATGTATCCGAAATGGGATCCCTATCTTTCGACTCTAGAAAAACGTTAGCAAAAACCCACTCAAACCCATCCATTCGTCGTGCAAATGACGTTAGTGCCAAATCAGGTTTTGCACGTGCAGTCGATCACGTGATCTTTGCATTGAAGTTTTCTTCATATGCACGTGTTTGCATTGGCCTCAAGAATTGAAAAAACACTTTTAAACCACAGTTCTAACGGTACTTGAAATGCCACGATTGTCAAATGTGCAACATGAACGTGCCGTTGGCATGTTGCAAGCGGGAAGATCAGTTATTGACATCGCAAGAGCAATGGGATGCAGCCGTCGTACTGTGTATGACTTGCGAGGTCGTCTACAACAAACTGGCACCACTTCTGATCGCCCAAGGTCGGGTCGTCCACGTGTGACGTCACGAGCAGAAGGCCGTCAAATCGTCCTACGTCACCTACGTGACAGATTTCTGCCGGCTACACGAACCAAGGCTGATATGTTTAGAGGTCGACTGTCCTCACAGAACATTCGAAATCGGTTGCGAGCTGCCAATCTCCACTCTCGACGTCCATATCGTGGGCCAATATTGACGCCGTTTCATCAACGTCAACGTCTGCTGTGGGCCCAACGTCACCTCCGATGGACCCAGAGAGATTGGAATCGAGTCGTCTTTAGCAATGAATCCAGGTTTACCCTCAGATTCGCGGACGGCAGGCATAGAGTCTGGAGACGACGTCGTGAACGGTATGCCCAATGCTGTGGTCAGGAAGTCGACAGATTCGGGGGCCGAAGTTTCATGGTGTGGGGTGCTTTCTGTGGGAACAACCGTTCCCGACTTCTAGTTATCCGTGGAAACCTCACAGCTGCTGCTTACCGCGACCAGGTGCTCACCCCTGAACTCGTTCCTTTCATGGCGGCTCATGGCCTAGGTCTACAGTTCCAGCATGATAATGCTCGGCCGCATACCGCGATGTTGACACGAAATTTCCTTCAAAACGCTGGAATCAACGTCATGGATTGGCAATCGAGGTGCCCTGACCTTAATCCAATAGAGCACGTTTGGGATGCACTTAGGCGAAGGCTTCGTGGTCTTAAGAACCAACCTCAGAATTTGCAGGAATTTGGCGCTGCCTTGCAAGAGCAATGGCGCAGAATCCCCAACCACGTGTTCACAAGCATCAGGCAGTCGATGAGGAGACGGTGTTTGGTAGTGGTGAATGCGCGGGGAGGCCATACACGATATTGAACTGAGATATTTCGCATTTTTATTCTTGTGACTTGACATTCTGTATACCCATGTTTTGGAACGGCGGTGTAGCCTAATGGAACTGATTATGGCACTGTCAGTGTATCGAGTACATCACACAGATCTCAGCAATGAAATAATAAAAATTTAACCATCTTACCATCTCTTGTTCTTTTATAGTGCCCTGAAGAAAGAATGTGAAATTTCTTTTTTGACTCAGTATACTACACCGATACCTTGTTTGTTCTCAACCAGGTTTGGATTGGTTGTTGTTTAACGCCGTACTCAGCAATATTTCAGATTCATGGCGGCCCAAATAAAGATGGAGTGGAACTCTGGTGTCATATAATTTGAATATTGATTCAGCTTCACGATTTGCTTTGCATTTTGGAGTTGTATCAGTTGTGTATAAATGGAAAGTGTTCAGTTAGATAAAGGAGTAATGGTGCTTCCAGTTTCGATTCCATTTTCGACAAATGCTTGAAGTATTCTTGAGCAGCTTTTACAATGCTTAAAGGTACACCATTTACATTTGGGACCATTAATGTGACAGCTGTTGTCCCAGCCAATGTAGGATTCCCATATTCCTTTTTCGCGTTTTTCTTGCAAAATGTGTCTGAAATTTTTCTGTTAGTTTGGATGGAGAAGGGAAAGTAAGTAACCTTCATAATTTTGTAATATTAACCTATCAAACACATGCTGTATCGGCAGTTCTATTCCTTGGTATCGATGTGCAGTAAATAATGGGCGTTTTGCAGAGTTGAGTTCCCATGCAGTAACAATCCCAAACAAGTGTAGCTGACAGGTTGCATTGTGTTATCTTTTTCCCAAACACGCAAATACCATAGGGTAATTATACCATGTTTTTCCTTGTGCTTGAATGCATTTTGTTATCTAAACAGGTTTACCTAACTCGCATAGTTTCTGATTCAGTACACAATTTGTGAAACCTAAATATATGTATAATGTAATACCAGACTCAGTGGTATAGCGGCTTTACAAAATACCTGCCAGCGCAGTAGGCCTAAGACCACGGTATGTTACGTTGTGAAAAGCGTAGTTTTTATTACACTGCAAAGAAGACAATACTTCGCAGAAGATAACTGCGTTCTCGTGTTGACAGAGATCTAATTGTGCATAGTGGGGTATTGTGATCACGACCAAGCTGCTTTCTGTAACGCTCACCTGGTTGAATGTCTAGTGAGCTTACGTGGTAGCCAACTGTGTAGGTAAATACCTTTTAGGTAAATAACAGTGACTGAATTAAGTTTTACGCCGTTTTTTAGCAGTATTTCAGCAATATCACGTCGAGAGACACCAGAAATTGGCTTCACACAATGTACCCACATGGGGAATCGAATCCGGTTCTTCAGCGTGACCAGCAAACGCTTTAACCACAAGGCTACCCCACCGGCCCAGGTAAATAACATTGACACATCCCTTTGGACCCATCTACTGGAAAAGTTCTGCCAGCGATTGTCGATTACAACATGAGTTTTTTATTGTGAATGAATGAATGACAATTTATTTGCATGGCGCCTAATATCCAGGTTATTGCCTGCTCAGTGGCGCTTTACAGAAACATTACACAGTGATTAAAAACAGTGATGCTTAAAAAGACAGCAAAAGCTAAGATGATGAATCAGGGGTGATCGAGGATTCAAAGCTAAAATATTGCCTGAAAAGGTGTGTTTTAATTTTTTTCTGGAATGAATACCTTGATTTTGCAATGTTCAGTTCAGCTGGAAGTTCACTCCACAACACTGGGGTTGCAACTGCAAAACACCTTTCCCCCATTTTAGTGGTGGTTCTGGGGATGGCAAGATCATTCAAAGCGCTGCTGGATCGAAGAGTTCCATTTGAAGTTTTGTACGAAATGAGGCGTCTTAGATACTTTGGAGCAGTGGGATCATTCAGGGCTGAATACTCAGTAAAGAGAAAACAGCTTATAGGTGACTCGTTGCTGTACAGAAAGCCAATGCAACTCACGCAAGATTGGTGTGATTTCACAGTGCTTCCTGGAACCCGTGGTGACTGACTGACTGAATTTGGTTTTACGCCGCATTAAGCAATATTCCAGCAACATCACAGCCGGGGACACCAGAAATGGGCTTCACAAATTGTACCCATGTGGGGATTCGAACCCGGGTCTTCGGCGTGACGAGCCAACGCTTTAACCACTAGGCTACCCCACCGCCCCGAACCCGTGATGAGACGAGCAGAGCAGTCCTGTAGATGCTGTAGGAGTTTGATGTTTGAGTTTGATGTTCAATAAAGCAGTGAGTTACAGTAATCAAGGCGGGATGGGATACTAGCTTGCACAAGAGTATTCAGACAAGCCACAGTCAGATACTTCTTGATGTTGCTGATATTATAGAGACAGAAAGAGATAGAACGACAGAGGGATCTCACGTGGGGTTGGAAAAAGAGGGATGGATCAAACATCACGCCGAGATTCCGTATAGCTGAGCTGTGACTAACAGAGCTGTCGCCATTGGTGATGCGGGGGTGGGGGTGGGGGGACGTTGAGTCGTTGCTGTGAGCCAAAAATCATGAATTCGGTTTTTCGTCATTCATTTTCAGAAAATTGGACTAAACCCAGGAGCGCACCTCTTCGACACAGGTCTCTAGCTGTGTTTTCAACAACATCACAGACATAATATATAAGTGCAGTTAAGGCAAACCCTATCGGCAAGACTTGGACCATCATAGTATGTCCCTATATTATTTATCGTTTAAACTCGAATAGGTTCTTGGTATTTTCTATTGTACAGATAAAGTTTAAGTTTGTAGATTCCAAGGTGAAGAGCATGGAACAACGTAATGCCAATAAAGGCACCAACCAAAACACCAATTGTCAGTCCTGGTTTGTTCCAGTTCAGCACAATGCGGTAGATAACACGACTGTGATCGGGCGCCCAGAAGAATACAGTAAACATTACGTAGATAAATCCAAAGATGAAAGGGTAAACTACGTGGCACATTCGCACTGGGCGTCCGTTGACGATGACATCCACGACGATGAAAACGGTGTTCAGAGCGTGGACGTTGATGTTGAAGTATCTCCCGCAGGTGACATCCTTCGGACAGATTACTGTGTAGTAAACGCCTGTCACAACGATCGCAAACACAAAAACAATATTGGAAAGTATCCATGATACTGGAATGGTCACGTGTTTCAAGAAGTGGTCCCGACACGTGATCCACTTGTTGCTGGTGTTGTTTTCAGACATGTTGCTGGCGTCGTCGTTGAGGATGTCGTTGGTGTCGGGTAGACCGTCCTGGTTCGAGAAGTCCTCATCACTTCGTCTATTCCTCACAGCAGAACGGGATTGCAGACAGTACACTGATACATGGTGAGTACATACGATGAGTGTGGACAGTAGGAAGTGGAGGAGTACCGTACAGTAGGACCAGGTGGTGAGGAACACGCCGACATCGTACTTGGGAACAGCTGACTTGTACCACAGTGTGAATGCATACAATGAGTAGATCGTCACTACCCCATAGAACAATGCGAGGGCTATGGACGGGCACCAGCTCCACTGAAACAAATCAATAATGGAATGATCATTTTTCAAGTAACGATACACCTGATAAATAATTCATTGGATGCTGAGGTTCAGCAGTTGGGGATACGGGTTGGTTGTGAATGTTTGTGCCTTATGTGTCAAAGTATATTCTAACAAAGAGAAGCGACAGCATCATTTCTATAATCAAATAAAACACCCCTAAAGGCAGAATCTTTTGCACGTTCCACCAAACATGAATTTCACTTATACTGATAGCAGTTATTTAGTGTACATATAAACAAACAAGGTCGAGAACAAGAACTGGGGCCACATGTGACCTGTGCACGTGACATGTCATACCCGACATATTCCACACGTGTCGTTATGAATGCGCGTGTATTCACAATCCCCAAAATAACGTTAGTAGAGCTCTGATACGTTTGTTAGGGAGTGTATGTACTGTACACGTATGTGGGTTATGTAGACACTCTTACCTGTGATTTGGTGAAGGGTTCTATTTTCTCGGGGACAGGAGACAGTTGCCTCACAAACAAACGCAGCCTGCTCTGTACTTCAGCCATTTTGTACAAACGTCAGTCACGGCAATATGCACCTGTGAATTGACATGACACGAGACCTTGAACGCTCAGGTATTTCAACAGGAAGGGGTTCTCACCTGCCATAGAAGTCTAAAGAAAGCGTCTCATGTTTACGTGTGAATACACAGGTAATGTCACAGCCAATGATCTGTAACAGAGGCAGTGTTGGGTCATAAAAAACCGGGTCCACATGCATTTCATGCCAAACTATGCCCCCCATATTTTTACAAGCTGGAAATTTTTTTAGGGACCATAATAGAGAATTCAACACAAATTCAAGCCTCTGGTAACGTTGAAAAAATAACATGATCCAAAAAATCCAATTTTTTTAATTCATGTCACTCAAAAGTGAAAGTAGAGGCAGTCAGGCTGTTATTAACAGCCAACATGGATTCGAATCAGCGGTAAGTTGACAACATACATTGACATTACAGTGTAGTCTATACAGTAACATGTAGTTTACAGTAATAGCCATATTTTAAGTATAATAGGTGCTGTTTGATTTATTTATTGAAAATCTAAACAATAACAATAAGACACGATTTCAAACTCATACATTGGCAGTGAGAGAGCTTGTTTTATCTGAAAGCCGAATTCATGTATGAAATAAGAATGGCTGCATTATAATACCCCCGCTACGACGTAGTCGCTGGTATATAGCGCTCAGCCCGTCCGCCCGTGTGTCTGTGCGTCCGTGCGTCCGGAATGGTTTCTCTGAGCATAACTCAAAAACTATACCACTTACAAACTTCAAATTTGGCATGGAACTTACCCTTATGGTGCCATTGTGGGTTTTGGCTTTCAATTGCATGATGCCAAAATTGAAAGTTTTCCTAAAATATTATTTTGGTATTCAATAATGGTATTGAAGGCGATCAGACTATAAGCAGGGGTATGTGAGCTGTGCTCACTTCTGCCTTGTTATTGAATGTAATTATAATATATTTATAGTATAAAACTATTGCTTTTCAGTACCCTATTGTTCTATTTGTCGGCACCCAAAATATGATTATCATAAACAAAAAATGACAGTGACTCCAATTTCTTATTTTTCAGATATTTAAGACCAAATATAAAGAGAATAAGTTATTATAAAGACCTTCTTGTGAAGTATTCTAAAGCTGCAGACAAGGGCTGGGACACTCTTTGTGGAGAAATTGCAAAGCAAGTGAACTCGTCTGTCCTTTTCATATATCTCCTCTCTCCACCCCACACCCCACCCCCCGTTATCAATTTCGAAATCTTGCCCCCCCCAACTTTTAAACTGTTCCTACGCCTATGCATGCATTTCATGCCAAACTATAGATAGAGTGAATATTATTATCAAAAAATATCCTGATATTTTCAAACAGAGGTTTAGGCCAAAGCAATTAAGTTTTCTTGAATTTACCTGAATTACTTGATTGACAGTGGAGTGCGTTTCATATTATAGGAACCTGTATAAATCGTAAAATTAGCGACAACCGATTTCAATATTCTTATCTCCGATATCGCATATTCAAATGAGTTTAAATTAGCATATTTGCATCTGCAAATATCAATGTGACGACAAATTAAAACCTTTTCTGAAAACTATATTCGACAACGTTAGTCGTAAACAAATCGTATTTTCGATGTCATCACATCGTTTATTCAAATGACACTATTACATTTATTCCAACGTGTCATGTCACGAAAATTTCAGAATATAACACATGATTTATGAATATTCACCAGTCCTAATTTCAAGTGTTAATGTTTAATATTTTCGACTCTATACTACATAACGCAGGTGTTGTATTCCGTAACGTGTACGAATAAATCATGTAGCTATATTAATCAGAGCAGGGTTTACACCACTTTCATGTATAAACCCTGGCGAAATTTGACAAACCGTTTCTTCTACAAGTGTTCCATTCATCATTTTCAGCTCAATATGACGAGAGAAAAACGAAAATTAAGATCGCGAAATGTAACTTCGTTTTGCTAGTAAGGGCAAAGGTCACCGGATGTCAAAGACAGACGTTGTCTACCAGAAATCTTTGTTGAATGTTAACAGTCTTTCAAATCCAATTAATGCCTATTTAGTATGATTAATCATAGCTCATAGGAAAACAACTTTGAAAGCTATACTTTCTGAGGCAACAAAATTATATAAATTTTGCTCCTACTTTGAGAACAAAAGATGTGCTGATTACCTGTTTTAATGTCTAAAATAAATACCAATTTTGAGTGAAATTAATTCACATAGACGATGAATATTTCTTGATTCCATTATTCCAAATTTTAGGAAATCCAATTACCATAAATATAGTTTCTACACTAGACGTGTTTTCATTCGTTTCATTGAACTACAGGTCCGCCATCATGAATTGACATCTACAATTATCAGAATTGTCCATCTTGTGTCGATAGACACAGAACAATAATATGTGATTGTTATGACATTCTGACATTTTATAATATCATCCCGTGTCAGAACAGTATTCGAAAAACATCGACCGCGAAATCCATCACGACTTCGGATTTGTGGGAAAAAGATCTTACGCACCGGCGGCAATATTGCGAAAAGAAAATATACAATAAAATGACAACTACAGTTTATACCAATTAACAGTAACCAAGTGAAGGTGATGTAAAAGTAAATTACACAATATATTTTGGATTTCACGGGAATCTGAATCTATTTAGAAAATGTATCAATGGTAGCTCTCCAACTCGTGCATATTTTACCTCGATGCGCTTCCGGTTTCATCAAGGGAATATACAGTTACAAATACTGTGATTAGTTTTCATGATCTGCATTATTTAGATATTGAATCGTTTTGTTAGGATGTATATAAGTTTAGATTCTGCTTATGAACTCGTATTTTCAAACATTCATCGTGTCTTGTCACCTAAACAAATTAGGCCAAGCGTGTCACCTACGGCTGTCAACAATGTCAATGTTAGAAGGTTTATAAACTCGCTAAATATTCCCCTTTACATTACAGTTGTCATTAATTCCAGCGAAAATAGTTGGGATGACACAACTTTATGGATGATCAACTCCTTTATTTCAACAATAGCGACGTTTCGGTATAGGTTCTTATACCGTTTTCAAGCGTTTTCGTCGCTATTGTTAAAATGAAGAAGTTGATCATCCATAAAGTTGTGTCATCTCTATACCAGCAACTTCTAGAATGCCACTCAAACAAAATAAGAAAATAGTTGGATATATTAATCAGATGGGAATAGTGTTTTCGCTACCACGATGCATGTGGAGTTGTTTGTTTACCGCACATGATCGTTCCTATGCATCCAATCCGCGATTTATCATTGAGATTGTTTTAGTTTATGATTAATTAAACAAGCAGTTGCTATTTTTTTAGAAAGTAGGGAACTTAAGTGTTTTCTCTCCACCAAGGAACAAAATTATTGAACACATTGTAAAAGAAATGATTTCATTATGAAGATAATATATTAGACTTAGTACCACTCGACATGAAGTGCCTGAAGTCAACAATGGCCAATGTTTGTGGCTGTGTGCGGAGAAATTTGGGGGATACATTTTAAATTCGCTGACTTTTCGTGCTAAGGTACATAAACAGTTAGTACTTACAGCTTTATATTTAGTAAACTGTGAATTCATGCATTCCATACATATTTGAAACGTAAATCCTACTTGGTCAGTAGTTATTGTAAGTTTTAGTTGGGGGTGTCATTATGCTGCTCTCCTGTCGAATGGGTTCGACAGCAGCATTGATAGGCCGCACCCAGCATTACGCCAGCAATATCACGCAGCCTAGACCTTATACATATAATTTGAATAACTTGCCATAATGTAATGCTTTTGAACCATATAATTTAAATATGTAAATATTATTATTCGTTGTCGGAAAAAGCGAGCCTTCAGACCACGCACCCCAGTGTCACCCCAACCCCTACCGACCTAACGCACACACACACATACACAGTTTAGTTGAATAAACTACGTGAATAAATGGACCGGGAGTGGAACACGTGTATTGGACAAAATCTCAGGAGTTGATACGAGTCGTGAAAGGATCAGCTGACTCAGGGTTTGGTGCCCATGGTGGATCCTTGTGTTTCAGCACCAAAACTTTCACATCGGGCTTTTCACCCAAGCCAAGCTGGCACGCCCTGCCAGAGCGACACATATATTGTTCCACATAAATTCAAAACGTACGTATCACGCACTCAAATACACTTCACAGATTTGAATTCAGTGGGAATTTTCCAGTTTCTTGATGTCACCCACTATCATCTTAGACAAGGCAAAAGTACTGAAAAAGATCTTTCAGAATTGGGCACATCGTAAATTTCGCCATTTTCGTAATCGCGATTCACCTTGTTATTGTTTAGTACGTTTAGAAATGTAAAAAGAACGGATAATTATTTGGAGGATTGAATTTTTGAAAATAGAATATTAATTATCACTGAAATCAGTTTTTAATTAAATCAGCAACCGTAATAAAAATTCTGAAACGTCGCCGATAAACCTGGAATCGGTTAAGATGTTTTGGAAAATACATGAACACAAAAGCCCAAGTGAACTTTTCGCCATATTGGATATTGCATGGTGACAGATCGATCACGAAGGCCGGTCATGTGACGCCTATTACATCACGTATATTTGACACTCTGCGACAAATGCATCACTGAATTTCTTATACATCTTACAACTAAATACCAAATGATCTTTGTCACCAAATCCAAGGGTCTAAATTATATCAAATGAAACATTTTAGGCGTGAATACGAGGACAAATTCAGGATTTACGCGGCGTAGCATTTTCTCAAATGTTCAGACATCTAAGGGTCTATTCGTAGCATGCATTTGGTAAGTAAGTTTAGAATTTGCATGTGTCGTAGCAAGAAATAGGAAATTGAACATAGGTAACAACATAGTGATTTAATTAATATCAAATGAATTGTCAAAAAGTTTCCGTGCAGCGTGACGCCATGACTCACGCAGAATGACAACGGTAAATTTCGGCATTTCTGACTTCTTCTCTTTCTTACAATGAAAACCTTAAAAACAAATAACAATAGACTGCCAGAATCTTTCTCTATAGTTACCCCCACATAGTTATAGACACACGTTCCCTGAAACACAGGAACGCCCCTCGCAAAATCCTGCTTACCGACACTACCGAACCCTCCATTTAGGAGATAAACAGCATGTGTTGGCCAATTTCCGGGTGTTATTGAGTATTTGAAGCACGGGAATTCATTTGGAACCGACGGCGTCACATGATGTTTATCGACATTGTAAACACAAAAGTAAACCAAAAGGTCCACACACGTTTTTGTGTCTGCTCTCATTGACATAGAGTACGGGTACAGCAGTGCAATGTCATCAGCCGGCCGTTTCAGCTGTCTCCCATGGTAGCATCTAGAACTGCTCATTTGTGACGTCATTCGGACTTTACGTCACAATATGATTTGAATGACGTCATCTCAGCTGACGACGTAACGATACAATGGTGTGAGCGATGTTTGTATGTATAAATACGCAGCGAATTTCCGGGAATCGAATACCATTTGATCATGTTTTTCAACCAATCAGATTAAAGAACACGGTGACTTTTGGTTTACAATTTTATTAGCAATCGGTCATCGACAGTGATGTCATATGTCAACATTGTTGTACATATTTTGCAATTTCTTTGAGGTGAAGATCGGTTGAATAAGACTAAACATAATCATCCTATCTTGTTGCTTAAATAGTATACTATGTAATTTGCGTGGCCTTCTTATATTTTTTCAAGAAAATAATTTCATTATCTACCTTGCCCTGTTCAATATTATCATATGTGGATATAGGCTATACATGTTTATCTTGTGAATGTTTTGGTTGTTTGAACAATATTTACATGAGAATTGACACATCTAGCATAGAACACCATATTTTTAAACTTTACACAAGTGTTAAAAGAGTGACTGAGTGAGTATGGTTTTACGTCGCTTTTAGCAATATTCCAGAAATATCACAGCGGGGGACACCAGGAATGGGCTTCACAGTGTTAACAGAAGAAACGTAGGCATAACTGCAACATATAGATCAACGTACATTAGCTCTTAGGATGTGCAACTCGCCATAGAAAAATCATATCTTAAAAATATATTATATATTCTCGTGTTTTGAAATATTCTTTTTCATTTACGTTGAATTGATTCATAAAATAATTTTCCAACGTTAAAATACACATTCAAACCTTCTAATTGTTTATCTATTCAAGACATTATTTAAATGGTAAAATCAGTAATTACATGTTCTGCCGAAAGAGCGTCAAAGTCTTACAAACAAATCGAGAAATTTTATACAATTAATGGAAATTAGGAGAGATATATACTAATCAACGTACCGTATTTCCTCTAATAAGCGCACGGGGCTTATTGTTTCTACGGACTTCCAGACCCGGCGCTTATTAGAGGCCCGGCGTTTTGCCCTTACTGGGTGTAATTACGGTAATTGTTAGTGACCTGATTTACCCCCAGTGCTTTTCAGATATCCGGCGCTTAGTAGGGGAAATACGGTACCAATGACGTCTTCCTCTGACGTCGTAAAACACAATAAAGCAAGCTATGACGTCAACTTATTATAGATGATGTACTGTTTTCTATAATTTCATTACAAGAAGAAGAAGAAGAAGAAATGGAGTTTATTACTGTGTCACATGCTGAATTACAATAAACGACATTTCATTGTTCCAGGGATTTAAAATCAGCATCCGGCCATATGGCCTATGAGACAAACATCACAGTTATAAACAAAAAATCACTGATAGTAAAGTCACACACACACGCACGCACAAACACACAAGCCCAGACATATAGACAAACGCACACACGCACATACAAAAGACATTTGAAGACATGGCTAATACTCTGTTAATAATGACGCAAGAAATGCATGTACACATGCAGGAGATTATGGGGATCTGAAAACTAATTTACATGCTGGATAGGGTAATCCAACTCGATATTACGTGCTTTCTCATGTAATACCATGTCATAATTTCTTATAAATTGTATTACTACCAAAACGTATCCGGTTACAGTGAGGATGTTTGTTTAGGAATAGTTTTGTTCATCGTGAACAAAACATCACGACAATACAGTGCCCGCAGCAAATTTGACCTGACTTTAAGCACTGCGTAGTACTGCCTCCTTATCTTTATACGGCTGTGACCTCTCGGTCGTCGTTTGACGTCATAGAGGAAATCCATTTTCGTGATTTATTGCAAGTAAATTTGCACATACAGTGTATAGCGTTATATATAAGTACATCAACCCATTTCACATATATCTGGAATTATTTTGTTCACTTTCTCTAAAGATGGCAAGTACAAAAAATCTTCGCACAGTGCTTTAGCGGTGTCCGATGAAAAGCTGAGAAACGTACTGTTTATTAATGCACAACGCTGCTAAGTATTTGCTAAGCATGTTGTTGACACTATGACTAACATAAACAGTTCATACGTTGAGTTAATTTGTTTTGTTTTTGGTTTGCTTGTTGATTTACTCTGATTTCATCAGTTTTTCAAAGTATATGACGGCGGTCTGTAAATGATCGATTCTTGACCAGGCAATCAAATGGCAATCCAATGATCAACAACATCTACCCAATTAAGATACGCTAACATTTGTCAACCAGGTGAGCCAGTCTGACCACCCGTTAGTCACCTCTTACGACAAGCATGGGTTGCTGAAGACCAATGCTAACCCAGATCTCCTCGGGTATCGCCAAGATTGTAAACGTATGACATCTGTGTAAAACCCTTGTCACTCCTGACCACAAGAATAAAAGAGGATGTGATATATTGTATGAGAAGTACTGATAAGAATCAGTGTTCGCAGGTCAATTCAGACACTTTGGAAGCACGGACCTCTTTAACCTCGAGGTGTCAGTATTATAGTTTGCCTATTAACTCTCTTTACCGTATACTTTCCTGTAGATGTACAGCCGAAGTTGATAAAGACCAAAGTATACAACTTGCAGTATAAACACAAGCACAGATATGCCCAACATTATACCAACGGTGGACCCGGGCGTGGACCAGTCCAGTATATATTTGTAAATGATGGCCTTGTCTGTAGCCCAGTAGATGAGGCTGAAGATCATATACACCGCAGCGTATATCAACGCATGGATAAAATGTAAGATCCGGACAGGTCGTGCGGTGATGAAGGTGTCCACGATGACGAAGACTGTGTTAAGGCCATGGACGTTCAGATTTGACAGTGTCATTCCTGATGAAGGATTGTATAACGCACCGAAGTAGATCGACGTCACAATGATGCAGGTATCGGAGGTGATGTTGGCGAGGATCCAGGATATCTTGGAATACCAGGGTGTTGTATTTACGGGTTGAGCCTCACTGAAGTCTGGAGATTTGGATTCTGATTTTGATCCACCAGTGCCTATCTCATTGTCAGTTTTAATGGCACTGTTTTCATGACTTTCCTTCCCCGTGTCGTGGTCGCTGTTGGTCGTAGTTTCACCGACGTTTGCGGAGGGGGCGTTTTCTGACGTTGGGTGTGTTTTGGTAGACGTCCCGGCATGTACATAACATACAACAGCAACAACGAAAGCAATGAAGAAATGTAATGTAAGAACCAGGTATGACCAGTTGGTTAAGTACACCATTGGATTGAACACGGGTTCTATTGATGGTCCGTCGCTGCTGTTGTCGGTCTCGACTTCTGCCAGCGTGTAGATGAGGGCAAACAGTGTATATCCCGCAGTCACTAGACGGTAAATCAGATATATTGGACGGGGCCATCTCCACTGAAAGTAGACATTTAAACATACATGAAGAGACTTTCAGTGTTTTTATAATAACGTCAAGTGTTACATGCAATGATACAATAATGTTGTTCTATTCGCAGTATTACGAACAATGCCAATATAGATGAATTTATACTATTAGAATTTTGTATCCGATAATATATCATTTGTTACCCAGAATGTTTTCCAATTCGTTACTCAAATTGTTTTACAATTCGTTACACAATTGTTGTGAATGCTACACTGTATGGGAAAATTGAACATGTATAGTCTAATAAGCAACACTGTCATACGTTACGAAATGAAAGTTTCAAAAGTGTCGAATGGTTTGCTTCCAACCCCAGTCAGAAATTCACAGCTTAATCGTTCGTGGATGAGAAGTATGAACAGATGAGTGGCCCAGGTACATGTACGCCTAAAGAGTACAACACAATCTCCCAGGCGATAACGAGAAGTCCCCCAAGTGCATTCTCTGATCAATAAACTCGCCATCTAGTGCCCCATCTCACTGTGGAGACGCATGCATAAATTATTCTAGTGCATACATATATTACTCTAGGTGCATGCATATATTACTCTAGGTGTATGCATATATTATTCTAGGTGCATGGATATGTTACTCAGGGTGCATGCATATTTTATTCTAGGTGCATGCATATTTTATTCTAGGTGCATGCATATTTTATTCTAGGTGCAAGCATATATTATTCTAGGTGCATGGATATGTTACTCAGGGTGCATGCATATTTTATTCTAGGTGCATGCATATTTTATTCTAGGTGCAAGCATATATTTCTCTAGGTGCATAACTCTGGATCTATGCACATAACACTAATGATAACATAAGTTGGTTAAAAAAGACCATTCAACATTGACTGAGTGATGTTGGGAACTTCAAATACACTAGTATTATTAACGCAGGCTTGGGGGACACATTGTTTGGCTGGCATTTCTCGGGGGGTTGACAGATGACAAAGTGGACTCCGTTATACACTAACCTCCCCTTAAAAGCTAAAACAGACATCTCTACAGTCGCCAAACGAGCCTTCTACCTTTCTCCTGCTGTGGGCGTTTCAAGTGTACCATCTGAATAATTTTATACAGTTTAGTTGGCCTCTTATTTACTTGGCTTCCATTGTGCGTTCTCTGGTTACAGTATAATCCTTTTGTTGTTATAAGGTAACCTACAGTCTACCATCGTTACTTCCTCGTACCTATGATAATTTTTAAAGTTACTCCGTCATAAACATTCTGTACCATGTTCTACACTCACTCTTGCTTGACAACGGTATATACAGATCTATACCTAAACGTCGCCATTGCATCATAATAAGAAGTTATCCATAGAGTTTTACCTATATTGACGCACATATAGGTTTCTTGTTGACCAAGTACTCGTGCTGCTGTGTCACGACAACAAACATTGGCCGCACCTATTTATGCATAAAGTCAAGTACTTTTTGTGTACTTTGCAGTACTACAAAACATTCACCCATTTCTCGGTGGATTTAAGAAATGACTTTCGAGATTGTGTGAGATCATTGGTGTATAAGCCCGAGTGGGTGTATAAATCTTTGGCTGATTTTGCATGGAGACGACGTTTTAGTGTTATGTGGTGCAGGAAGGCGATATGTTAGTGTTACGTGTTACAGGAAGGTGATGTTTTAGTGTAACATGTTACAGGAAAGCGACGTTTTATTGTTAAGTGTTGCAGGAAGGCGATGTTTTAGTGTTAAGTGTTGCAGAAAGGCGATATGTTAGTGTTACGTGTTACAGGAAGGCGATGTTTTAGTGTTAAGTGTTGCAGAAAGGCGACGTTTTAGTGTTACGTGTTACAGGAAGGCGATGTTTTAGTGTTAAGTGTTGCAGAAAGGCGACGTTTTAGTGTTAAGTGTTGCAGAAAGGCGACGTTTTAGTGTTAAGTGTTACAGGAAGGCGATGTTTTAGTGTAACATGTTGCAGGAAAGCGACGTTTTATTGTTAAGTGTTGCAGGAAGGCGATGTTTTAGTGTTAAGTGTTGCAGAAAGGCGACGTTTTAGTGTTACGTGTTACAGGAAGGCGATGTTTTAGTGTTAAGTGTTGCAGAAAGGCGACGTTTTAGTGTTAAGTGTTGCAGAAAGGCGACGTTTTATTGTTACGTGTTACAGGAAGGCGATGTTTTAGTGTTAAGTGTTGCAGAAAGGCGACGTTTTAGTGTTAAGTGTTGCAGAAAGGCGACGTTTTATTGTTAAGTGTTACAGGAAGGCGATGTTTTAGTGTAACATGTTGCAGGAAGGCGATGTTTTAGTGTAACATGTTACAGGAAAGCGACGTTTTATTGTTAAGTGTTGCAGGAAGGCGATGTTTTAGTGTTAAGTGTTGCAGAAAGGCGATATGTTAGTGTTACGTGTTACAGGAAGGCGACGTTTTATTGTTAAGTGTTGCAGGAAGGCTTATGTTTTAGTGTTAAGTGTTGCAGAAAGGCGATATGTTAGTGTTGGCGTGTTACAGGAAGGCGATGTTTTAGTGTTAAGTGTTACAGGAAGGCGATGTTTTAGTGTTAAGTGTTGCAGTAAGGCGACGCTTTAGTGTTAAGATGTTGCAGAAACGACGTTTTATTGTTAAGTGTTGCAGAAAGGCGACGTGCTTTAGTGTTAAGTGTTGCAGAAAGGCTACGCTTTATTGTTACGATGTTACAGGAAGGCTTATGTTTTAGTGTTAAGTGTTGCAGAAAGGCGACGTTTTAGTGTTAAGTTGCTTGCTGAAAGGCGACGTTTTATTGTTAAAGCGTTGCAGGAAGGCGATGTTTTAGTGTTAAGTGTTGCAGAAAGGCGATATGTTAGTGTTAATGCGTTACAGGAAGGCGATGTTTTAGTGTTAAGTGTTACAGGAAGGCGATGTTTTAGTGTTAAGGTTGCAGTAAAGAGGCTTACGTTTTAGTGTTAAGGTGTTGCAGAAAGGCGACGTTTTATTGTTAAGTGTTGCAGAAAGGCTTAATGCGTTTTAGTGTTAAGTGTTGCAGAAAGGCGACGTTTTATTGTTACGGTTACAGGAAGGCGATGTTTTAGTGTTAAGTGTTGCAGAAAGGCGACGTTTTAGTGTTAAGTGTTGCTGAAAGGCGACGTTTTATTGTTAAGTGTTACAGGAAGGCGATGTTTTAGTGTAACATGTTGCAGGAAGGCGATGTTTTAAAGTGTAACATGTTACAGGAAAGCGACGTTTTATTGTTA